CCTGCAAAAAAGGTGTTGCACAGAAATGGGGAGGGATCTTGGCTCTAAAGACGTGGTTTGGCTTCCTGGACCAAGCTGATAACCCCGTGTGCACTCGCATCGATCCTGCTTCTTTTCCTTATTTATTCCTCTCTTTCATCCCTTCCACTCCTTAACACAAAGCCAAACAGGGCACTCTCCTCTCCAGACAAGATTTTAGCCTCAGCATCGGGATTTCAGCCCAGCACTGTTTTGAGCCCTTGGGTAAAATCCACCCTGTACCTCTGCAGTGGTCTGAGCTTTTCCCATGTCCTCACCAGTGCCAGTGGGAAACACCATTCCCAAAGCCCTTTTTATCTGTAGGGTACTGGTGATAGATAACATTCTTTGCTGTTTTCCCCACGCCTCTGGGTGTGAGGCAAGAAGTTAGGAGGTTGGTTAGGAGAGAACTGAATTCCATTAAAGAACCATTTATAGGAGTTTTTCCCCCTCAAAGGACTGTCTTAGGGATCACTGGGCCAGATCCTGAGAGGCAAGAGATGAGACAATGAGGGTGTGCATGTCCAGTGTGTTATCCATGCTCAAGGCATTCAAAACTTTCTGGATCACCCATGCCATTTGTACAGTAAATGTCTGGGATCAGCACAACTGCTCCTCAGGCCACAGCAGATCACAGCAGCACCTTCCAGGATCCCCGTGTAAGACACCAGAAGGACAGGACAAAGCCGTATTGTTTTCCCAATTCTTTGGCTCTCTTGGCAGACAGAAGGAAAAAGGCCAGTGGTGGTCACTGTGGGCCAGCTTTATCACCTTGGGATGTTTGCTGGACTGGTGCCAGAGCCCCGGAGCTCTCCTTGCCCTTTGCCTGTGTCCTACCCAGAGTCCTGCACTGCCACAGCCTCTGAAGGTCACACAGGACATACACAGAGCTGCAGGCTGGGGCTGAGCTAATCCAAGGGAAGTCTTCCCTGTATTCCTGCAATGCTCATTTATCACATGGGGATTATGGAATTCTCTGCCTCCTGGGGCAGGTGGAGGGTGGGATAACACCTGAGGTGCCCCTTGCAGGAGCTGTAGAAATGCCAAGTGTCCCGGGTGAGGTGTTGGATGAACTGGGAGGAAGTTGGTTCCTGCTGCTGAGCCAGAGTCCCTCCATCCAACATCCAGCAGATGAGGACAGGGCTGTGCACAAGGGCAGCGGGGAAGCACACGGGACAGGTGACCCTCCTCCTGAAGCCTTTCTGGCTGGGGGAGTTCCCCTGTGCAAGGCAAAGGATCCCCCTTGATCCAAGAGTCAGTCACAGATCTCCCTGCAGGCATCACTTACAGGACCCCGGAATGGTTTGGGTGGGAAGGGACCTTAAAGCCCATCCAGTCCCACCCCCACTGTGGGCAGGGACACCTTCCACTAGCCCAGGTTGCTCCAAGCCCCATCCAAACTGGCCTTGGACACTTCCAGGGATGGGGCAGCCACAGCTTCTCTGGGCAACCTGTGCCAGGGCCTCACCCCCCTCACAGGGAAGAATTCCTTCCTAAAAGTGTATCAGTATCAGCCCAGCCCAACCAGAGCCAGATTTAAGCAAAGACTAATAAAGATGCATCATGGAAAGCTCTGCAGCTTTGAGGAAATAAACCCAAACCCCCTCTTTTCCTTCAAAGCACCCATGCTCCCCGGATAGCTGTGGCCCAAGACTGACTCTGTTGTGATCTGCAGCCTGGATCTTTAATTCTTCCTGTGTTTCAATCAAAACTAAGCGCTAGGAAAGGAGATTCCAGTGTTTTGGCACCCTGCTGTCCCCGGAAAGCCGGGCTGGTTCCAGACCTCATGGTTTCATTTGCCAGGAGGAAACACAAAAATAAAAGTTTCCATGGGTGTGGGGGCCAGGTAGAAGCCAAGGAGACAGAAGGGGTTTCAGGAGAAGGAACAAGCAGACTTCTTAAGGAAAGGGACAGGAAAGAGAATATGCAGTAACACCCCATTTCTTGCCCTGGGCAGATTCTGGGACGTCACTTGAATGACATGGTGAGACAAAATAGAGGCACTTTGTTCTAGTTCTGTGACTCTCGGAGGTAATGCAGAAATTCCCCCAGGGAAAATCAACAGAGGGAGGGGAAACATCTGCATTTCTCCCTGTCCCTGGGCTTGCTACTGTCTGGAAAAGGCTGCAAAGGGCTAAAGGGGCCTTTGCTCTCTGCAGTCACCAAGGGCAGGTGGTGGAAAGTTAGGCTATGCAGAGTTTTGAGGTTTTGGCCAGTCCCCAAGATTTCCAAGGGCTTCTCCAAATATTTTCTCAGGGATTCATGCTGAGATCTCCCTTGACCAGGACATGTGCAGCTTCTTTGAGCTTGGAGGAAGGGCCAAAGGCATTGGAGGGGATCCCAGAGAGTCCGAGGGCAACAAGCTGCAGCCCTGACCACTGCTGCAGCTCCAGGGGCTGTTTTCCTACCTGGAACACAGATCTGCACTAGCCTCCCTCTGGAAACCTCATCCCCCTGGTATTCCTTCCCTTCCTCACGGACTAGCAGCTCCCAGTGCAGCTCCAACCCTTCCTCTCAGGGCTGGAGACATTTGCCTGCCCTAATATAACCCCCCTTTGTTTCCAGACCACCCACTTCAGCCTCTTCCACTCCCTTTAAAAAAGGGATGCCTTTTAAGGGATGCCTTAAACTCCAGCTCTGCCTCCATCCCACACGGGTGCAGTGCTCTCATTTCCATCAGTGTCATCTATTTACACGAGAAATGCCTGGGCAGGAAATTGAGGTTACTGAGAGAAGAACAGTGCCTCACATCAGCCCCGAATCCCTGCGGGATGCGCTGCCTGTGCCCTACCCCAGACCTTGCCCCACATTCCAAGTAGGACAGACTGCAATTAAAGCCCCCAGCAAACAGAAAATGCCACTGAGCCTTCCCTGCGAGCCCGAGGTGGGAAGTGGCTGTGCTGCAATGTTAATTCTTTTATTCAAGGTCACTCTGGAATGGCTGAGCAGGGAGCTGGGCTGGGTGCCCGAGGTCTTTCCCCCTGAACTATCCTCACTCCACCTCTGAGTCAGTGCTGGTGGTGTAGGAGACCCTGGCTCAGAGACCTGCAGTCTCCAGTATGCCTCTGTCAGCCTTCCCACCAATGAACCAGCGTTCCCACCAACAAACCACTTCGACTGGGGAACAGCCACCCCTCCAGGGCTATCAGGAATCAGCCACAGAGGCAAAACACTGTTGTGTTTTCAGCCACAGAGACACGAGGTGTGAAGTACTCATGTGTCCTGCCAAGCTCGTGGCACACACCAGCCTTTAAGTGTTAGAAAAGTGCTAAAAAGCTTTAGCAATCAGCTTGAATGCAGCATCTGTCCACCCTGGCCAGAGCAGGCATCTCCCTCCAGCATGTCTGGGGTGTCTGTGGGTGCTCAGCACACTCCTGCAGCCATGGGCAGGATTGCCACCACTGCCCAGCCCTGTGGCTTCGGAAGAGGGCCAAGAGGAGCTCCGTGTAAAAGCTCTTCTCAGCTGGCCAAGGAGAAAGGGGAAATCCCCCGGGCAGATCCCATGGAAAGGCAGTGCCTGTTCCAGAGAGACACCTGCTGGCAATGCCTGTGGAGCCGGAGCTGATCCGTGCTCATTTCCCATGGAAGGCAAGGAGAAATAAAAGTGTAACAGATACAGGGGGAATGTGGAGGAAAGGCTCACAGTGCCAAGGTGGGACCCAAAGGGAAAACATGCTGCCCCTGCATGTGTGCCAGGCCCTGATCCCAACTCCGATTTTAGGACAGCCAAAGAAACGCCAAATTCCCACTAGATGTGAGCTAAATCAAAGAAAGCTGGGATGGGAGCATTCCAGGGGCTAGATGGGCTGGCTGGAAATCCCAGCCTGTTCTAGGCAGGACAAATCCAGGCACGAAGCTGTACGTCAAACACAGGGGCATTTGCAGGAATCCTGGCAGGCAGTGCCTGGAATACATGTTGACTCCTGTCAACTCACCTCTCCACCAAAAGCTCCTGGTTTTAACACATTTGGGAAGTGATGGAGTGAGTTCCTATCAGGACAGACATTTTCTAGGAACCAGCCTCTTTAATGTGAAATTTGTTAAATGAGGCCACGTGTTCTGTGCTCAGAGAAAAGGGGAGAGCAAGAGAGAAGCCAAATCCCTGAGAAGGTATTAAGGAGAGCTTTGAGTGAACCACAAAGAAATTCAGATGAACATATACTTCTTTAAAACCCAAGGATGTCCTCTGCTGGCCAGAAGGATGTTTCCAGTTTGGATGCTTCCAGATCACTCTGGGTCTGGATAGTTCCTCCTCTACCATTCAAGCAATTTAAAGGAATCCCTGGCCAAGGGCCAATTAAACAGCGAGTTAAGAGCTGGCAGGGTCAGTTCCAGGAGGATTATGTTCAATGGCCTCACAGAATACTAAGCAATTTTTTCCCTAATTGCTCTTTACTGCTGCTTTCCAGTAAGAAATGCAGGAAGTAATGAGGATTTGTTGCCTCATAAAAATACTATACAAGCAACTGGGGTTCCTGGCTGATCCCAACAGCCTTTTCTACCTGTAGCAACAGCCCTTTACTGTGGCTTGCCAGGAAAAAGGAGAAAGGAAACTGAAAGCATCCCAGAGCACAGAGGGTTCTTCTAGAGGACGAGTCAGAGGGCTGTCGTGTCCAAACTGGTGGGTTGGGGTTGGATTTTTCCTTCTGGCCTTCTGCCAGTCTTCCCAAAACACTCCTCACCTCTCCAGCCCTCTTCCAAAAGCTTTCCTAATCATTCCTTTTCCAGGGATTTCCTTTACACAAGGTTTAATGGTGCTGAATCAAAAGATGAGCAGCACGAAGGAATACAACTTGAACATACACTTTACACACTCAGTTTTCCAATCCTTCTAACAAAAGCTAATGTCTTATTATTCCCAATATTCCAATTGAAGCTGGAATCTCAGAAATTACAGAGCTGTAATTCTCAGACCCTGATTCACAGATAAACAATGACTAACTTGTTTTCTTCTTTTTTTGTTTTTTTTTTTTTTTTTACAGAACAAAGGAAAAAATACTCCAATTCCAACATCATTATGCACGAGACTTCCCAGTACCACGTCCAGGTGAGCACACACTGGAGCACTGAGGGGCTGGGAGGCCAAGGTCAGTGATAGATCCTGGTCATGGCAGTGTGTTCCCTGTGTCCTGGACCTTCACAGGGCCAGAGAGCAGTTGGGAATCTCCTTACAATCCAAGTCCTGAGTAACTGGGTAGAGGAGGATGGCAGGGGGGAATACTGTTACACAGGCAAGAGGAATTCTGTACAAGGAAAGAGGAAATGGAGAAGCTGCTGTCCTCTCCCTCCTCTGTGTCCATCCCTCCCATCACCCTGTGCTTCCAACCCTCCTGATCAGCACAGAGAGGTTAAAAGCAGAGTTCCCATGGTGGTTACAGGAACTCAGCTTCCCAAACAACAGAGACCACGTGGACTATCAGCTTTCAGCTCTCCCCAGCTCCTTGTCCTCTCGAGTAACTCAAAGCCCTCCACACACTCAGGCAATGAGCCAAACCCACCTCCCAGTGTCAGGCCCCCTGTCCCTGGGGAGGAGCCAGCCTGGCCACCCTGGGCTCGGCCATCCCTGAGCACAGCACACACTGGGACAGCCAGGACACCGCGGGGACGGAGGTGGCCGCTCACCACTGCTAAACTGGGCAAGGCGAGGAGGGAAGACACTTCAAGAGGGTCACATTTAGTACACAGGGCCCTTTAAAACTCTCAATTTAAACTTTTAAAATGCCTGTTTGGAAGGAGGTCCTGGTTTGCATCGGAGAAACCAACTCGATGGCCCAGCAGTCGCTCAGGGAGGCAGAGACAGGACTTTACACAGTGCAGGAATTCCTCATTAATTAGCCCATATGCCACCCATTCACCAGTCTCTCCCCTGAACTTTGACCAAGGCCAACAGGATTCCAGTGGCAGGCACTGACACAGAACGAGGTTTCCTCACAGAAGGCATTTTACACCCTTTGAAATAATCTGATCAAAGTTTAATGGTGGATGGACTCATTGCCCATTCTTACAAAAGCTGCTGTATTGGAATAGCAAGGTTTTAATGAGAGAAAGCAAAGACAGCAGGAAATTTCTGCCCCTCAATCCACCCATATCTACAGAAAATGGAAAATGAAAAATATTCTAATGAGTGAGTATGACAAGTAGTTTCCCCTCCATGAAAATCAGCTTGACAGTAAACAGTAAAGGAATTTATGAAGCTCATAAAGCTGGTGGATAAAATAATAGAAGAGATAAGAACGCCCGTCATCCCATGTAAACCATTCTCCTCACTGCTCTGAAAGCAGAGGCCTGTCACCTCTGCCCAGATAAGACTGACTTGGCAAATACCTTTCTGTGCACTGCTTTACAGTTCCAGTAAGACAGCCCGGTGTGTTTTCATCCGTGACTGCATTGCTAATCTCAGCTCAGGCAGTTTTATTTAGTCAGTGCCTCACCCCATACGTGTGCTTAGGGAACACGCAACGGGTCTGCACCCTGCAGAGCTTGTCCTCTTCTCTGCTCCTTCCTCCAGGATTTGGGAATCATCCAAGAGCAAATGGGGCACCACAAACCCTATCCACCCCTAATTCCCACCAGCATCAGCACCAGAAAGCAGTTGCTTGACCCCTGAAAAGCTTATGTCTGATCACTTGGATAAGGGAGGAAGATACGGGATCAGAGGGAGAAAAGTCAGGCAAAACTCATCTCTGTACCCCAAATTTCAGATCAATTTAGGACTTGCTGTACAACACCCCCCATTTTTCCAGCTCTTGCTCTGAAACCAGGCTGCAGGGCTTGTGCTTCAGAGAGAAGCAGGAGTTCACACTGCTGCCAGCTGGGCAGTGAAGGAACAAGGTGAAACAGGACCGGTTCCTTTTCCTTCCTGATTTTTTCCCCTTCCCTGTTGTCATCTGGACACGTGGCCTGGCTGTGCTGTCATGGCACAAGGACCACAGCTCGGCAAAGAGCCAGGCTGCTCTGAGTCCCAGCTTTTCCTGCCTCACAGTCCCCTCTGCTGGCAGACACAGCCAGTTCTCCGGTCCTCGGGGAGCAGCGCTTGCTCCCGCCTGCCGCTGAGCAGTCACCTGGATTTTTGGAGTGGCCTCCACGCACTGCTGGGAGGCACTGGCACCATTTGGATGTGACACATCTCTCCTTTCCACAGCTGCCTCACTGCCCTTCCCTGCCCAGCACGGAAGCTCTCCAGAGGGGCTGTTCCCAGAGCAGGGGACCCCACACAGCACACTTGGCACAGAGGACTGACACTTGCCCGTGGCTTGTGTGAGCTCTTTGCCTGGCACAAATCCCGCATAGGCAGGTCTGCTACGCCAGACAAGCAAATTCCAAGTGTTTTTAGCTTGGCAAGTGAAGCTTAACTACTATATTTAACCTTCCAAACCAGTTTCAGAAAGGCCAGGGCAGTAACTCGTGTGTAGGAAGCATTTGCCCCGCTGGATGGGGGCCAGAGCTGCTGGAATTGAGGAGATTAATATGCAAGTGGTGAAACTGGTTATGCAAACCCATTACAAAACCCAATCTTTCACTGCCATGGCCAGGCTGGTACCACCAACCAGAACTGCTTTGTGCAACAAAACTCCTTCACGCCTGAGCTCTGAAGAACTACAAACAGTAGCTGAAGCCTTTAGAGATGCTTTCACCACTGATTTACACACACTAACAAATGTTTTCTGCCTGTTTTTTCCTCCTTTCCCTCCCCATCTTCAGCACCTGGCCACCTTCATCATGGACAAGAGCGAGTCCATCATGACGGTGGACGATGCCATCCGGAAGCTCATCCTGCTCAACTCCAAAGAGAAGATCTGGACGCAGGAAATGCTGCTGCAAGTGAACGACAAGTCCATCCGGCTGCTGGACTGCGAGACAAAGGTACCTGGGGCTCTGTGGGAGCTGTGGGGTGCAGTGGGTGCCCCCCCTGTTCTACCTGGAGAAGGCAAGTTCTAAGGAACCCAAACAAGGGTGAGTCACTACCAAAATCCACTCCTGGATTAGAGCCAGCCCTGCAGCATGGGAGAGGGTTGGTTTTAGCAATGGTAAACTAAAGATCAGGACAGGGATCCCGGGGGTTCCTGCACAGGACCATTCCCCCTCAGTTTAATAGTTCCCGTTGCCTGATACCTTCCTCCTCCTCTTCCAGGAGGAGCTGGAGGACTTCCCTCTGCCGACAGTGCAGCACTGCCAGACGGTGCTCAACCAGATGCGCTATTCCTCCATCCTGCTCCTGGTGTGCCAGGATTCGGAGCAGCACAAACCTGACATCCACTTCTTCAACTGTGATGAGGTGGAGGTGAGCAGAGCACTCCTCGTTTGTCTTGCTGCCTGTCAGCCCCTTCCTGCTTTGCCTGTAATCCTTCCCAGAGACAAGCCCCTACAAACATCCCTGTTTTCTCTTTGAGGCGGAGTTGGTTCATGAGGACATAGAAAGTGCCCTGTCAGACCACAAGCATGGGAAGAAGATACGGCCACAGACACTCAAGTAAGTGCTGCAGGATACAGCCGGGAGTAACAAACCCAAAGCTGTTTCCAGTGGTGTATTCACACTCCAGTCTCTTGGAAGCAGGATCAGCAGCCACTGACAGGGTTGCTCTGTGACCTTTTCCTTGCAGGGCAAACCAAGAAAAGATCAAGCAGAGACAATCCATCCTCCCCCCGCCGCAAGGGCCGGCTCCCATCCCGATCCAGCACGACATGCGAGGCTCAGGGATGAACAGGAACAGGGTGGCACCTCCTTCCCAGCATGATCCAGGTACTGGGAGCACTCAGGAAGTCTGTCCTGGGGATAGGAAACTCATGAACCCAGACAGCCAACCCTCCTGAAGTGGTCTGTGGTATAAACAAGTGTTGTACCCACCGGGCATCTTCTGCTCAACAAACCAAAACTCCTAGAAAGTCCTTGTAAAAACACCTATGTTTGGGGGATTCTGAAATTCCCAAAATAAGCAAAGACCCCCCCCATAAAACTGAGCTACCACATGAAGTTTGAACCAAGCATTAGTGATCTTAAAATGTACAGACAAGATAGAGCTGGTCAGAAAGACAAGTTCCTGGCTCTGCTGACTTCACAGGAGCCGAGATTTCACACTCAAAAATCAAGTGGTTTCCATGAACTCCTGCAAAGTCGAGTGGGGAAAGGCAGCTCTGAACTCTCCCCTCATGTGCTAATCCAAAGACTGATTCCAAAAGCATCCTGACTTCAGCCCCTTTGGGCTGGCTTGAAAACAGAACAGAAACAAGTTCTTTCTCTGACAAAAGCTCAAACTGATGAGCAAACTGCAAGCATTTCTCATCCCTGCCTACCATACCACCTTCTCTTAGGATTCATTTCTAGTTTCAAGGAAAACATACAATAGTATACTATAAGAAACTCCAAACCACTCCTTTCCTGGGACAGAAGCTCTGGCTCCTGAGCGGAGAGCTTATTTCAGGCCCAGTTCTGCATCATGAAAGGAATATCTGTGTTTCTGAGCTGGACCATGAATAAACACCTATATTCTGATGCAGAGCAGCCACTCTTATCTCTGCCCTTCCGAGGGAGCTCAGCACAGAGCTGAGCTTACACTGCTCCCATCAGCTGAGCTGGGAATTCACCCAGGCAGGATTTCTGGCTCTGAGAGCACAGAGCCTGGCACGAAAGCAGATGACAGGAGAAAGCTTCGAGTGATGCCTGTTTGCTGAGATCACTTCTCAAAACACGCCCTACTGCTTTTTCTACAAAACCTGTCAGAACTAATCACTTCAGCCCCACACTTACAGATGACGTGGGTTTTTCGCGGTCCTTTGCCAAAGCTGCCTCCCAAGTTCTCCCACTCGGTGTATCCTGCTGTGCTGGCCTTTCAAACCACATTTCATTGAGCTGACAGAGTTTTCTTTTCACAAGGGGCCACCCCAGCAATTGTACACGCTGAAATATCCCCCCTCACTGAGTGGGTGTCTCCTGGAAGCCGGGAGGTGCCTGCGGGTTGGGTTTTTTGCAGGATGATTGGTATTTTTAACACCCATTAAAAACACTTGAGAGACTGCACGCAAGTTTGTACAAAAATGCTGATTTGTGCACGGGCCTGCCTAAACACCCATCATGCAGAATTCCTGGCATGCTGCTTTACAGCAGTTGTGTTCACTTCCAGGGCTTATCCTTTCTTTCTTAACTACTGTTCAGTTAAACTGGAACCTCTAGGAGAACGAAGGCTCCTGTGGAGATTAGGAGAGAGAGCAAAGTTAATCTAATTGCACTTGACATCTTGTTCTTCAGTTCCTCAGCACAGATCCAGCAAAGGTACAGGAGTTGCTGACTCAGGGGCTGGCAGGTCTCTGCTGGTTGCTCCTCCCGATTCATTCCCTGTCCATACCTGAGAACAGGCAGAGTGTTGACACAGGGGTTGGCAGGCAAGTGCTGTGACCTTGGAAGATTTAATCAGCAACTCTGATCACCTCCTGCTCCCTATGGTCTCCTGAGGTGCCCTCATAACCCAGAGTAAACACCCGAGTTGGGAGTTACCATCCCATGGATCCCTGCCTTTAATGGAGCCTATTTTTAACCTCTGATAGGAAATATCTTTTTCTCTCCCTCGTTTGCAGACTATGAACGACGAAGCTCCAGCTCTCATGACCACGAAGAGTCCCGGGCCATGTTAGCACAGAAGATTGAAAAGGAAACGGTGGGTAACCAGGACAGTGCACAGCCCACAGGCAGGAGGAGAGGGAGAACAGGGAGCAGACATTTAATGCATAATCTGGTCCTTTTTCAAACTGATATCTGCTGTGCATAAAGATAAGGTGGCCAAAAGCAAAGCTCCATCACCGGGTTAGTTACAACATCCTCTGACCTGAGGCAGCTCTGCTGATTCCAGGTCTGCTCCTCCCCATCCCACAGCCCGGTCTTGGGTTATTTTCCAGCCGTCCATTAGCAGGGGTCACTTGTCACATTGATAAGTACAGCACCCAGCCAGGCCCAGCTTTGTGTTTGGAAAGTGATGAATTCAGCTTCATTTCATGCCTGGATTGTTGACTCCTGTGCATTCTTCCAGGAAATGTAGCAGGCTCTGGGATTCGGGCTCCCAGCTGGGTGCAGCCCAGGCTCACTTTCACCTTGGTCTCCTGGGTTTCTGTCCCCACAGCAAATCCTGAACTGCACTCTGGACGACATCGAAGTGTTCGTCGCCCAGCTGCAGAAGGCAGCAGAGGCGTTCCGACAGCTCAACCAGAGGAAGAAAGGGAAGAAGAACAAGAAGAAAGGGCCAGCAGGTACAGTGCAGCAGCTGGAACAAACAGGGAATAAATACAGGGGCACAGGTGAAGGTGGGGGGACACCTCAGCTCATGCCCCAGCAAGGCCAGGTGGATGCAGCAGCACCATTATGGATCCAGCCATTTCAGAAGGTGCCGCTGGTCCGTGGGGGCCTCCTGGAGAGCACAGGGAGCCTGGTGAGGCCTCCAACACACAGAAAGACATTTGGCTTTCCCTGACCCCTGGATTTTTAGTAGTTCTTGTCTCAGCGTCCATTTTTGGTGTGTTTTCTGCCCATTCCCAAACAGGGATTCTGTAATTAACGTGTCCTTCTGTGCCCTTCTCCTGGCAGAGGGAATGCTGACTCTCCGAGCAAGACCCCCGAGTGAGGCCGAGTTCATCGACTGCTTCCAGAAAACCAAACTGGCTTTTAACCTCTTGGTAAGGCATGGAGGGAGCTCCCATCCCACACAGTGACAGGGCTTTTCCTTGCGCATCCCAGTAGCAAGAGTTTGGAGTGAAATTTGAATGGAAAACACCACCAAGGGACAAAGGTGTAAATCCCAGGATCTTCAGAACCCAGGACAAACATTGTGTCAGGCTGGTGCAGGTCTTTTGGGACAAGCTGTTAAACCAAAACTAGAAGCATGAAGTCCAGGATGGGACTGAGCAGCCAGAGGCTTGCAACACCTGGCATCTTTTCAGATTCAGGTCTGAGAAGTCTCTGCTTGACATTAACTGATGCCCCCCATTGCCCCCCTATTCCTGGCTCCTTTCTTTCTCCTCTGGAAGACCCTCTGTATTAAGAAGGGAGTGAAAAGTAGGAGCATAAAGATGTTCCCAGTGCTGCCAGCTCTGCTTCGTGAAATGTGTAACACCCGAAGGGTCACAAGCCACAAGGAATTCTGTCAGTTCTGACCATACCCAGCAAACACATCCTACAAGGTCCTTCAGGGAACTTATTAGTAAGGAAACCACAGAGATTGTAAACAACCTCAATGCAGGACACCAAGCTCCAGTCTTCTCTTTTAGAGGCAAATATGAATAATTTGTGCCTGCTCGGGGCCAGAAAGAGCAGCATATCTCCTGGGAAGAGCTCGGGGCTGAGCATGGAGGAGAACTGGGAATTCCGTGGTGGAGCACTGCCACATTCCACACCACATGGCTGGGAAGTCCTTGAGAAGGGCCATTTCATTTGGTCCCTTTGTTGCCATCAGTTGTTTCACACTTTCCACTCCACATTAATGTTTAACCACCAGCATTTAAAATACTTTTCATTTCAGGAGGAGCAGGGAGCCTGTTTTCCATGGCAGCAGTGCCAGGAGCCCAGGACAGGAGAAGGAGCTGAATGGAAGCACAAAGTGAAGAGGTTTCAGCTCAGCTGATCACTGCTAATAAAACCCCATTCTTACTCCCCCTAAGTGTTTGCTCCTCCATTCCAGCACAACTCACTCCAATAAATACCATTGGATTCGGAGCATTTCAGTGGCCAGGGCAGCTGTAGGTGCCACAGGCAAGACCGTGGTGGAGATTTTTCCTCTTCAGCAATTTGGCAAAGGACCTACAAAACACTTGTCCTGTTGTTTTCATTCATGGAACTAGCAGGGTTTTCAACCCTGGAGGAGGCAGAAGCCATAATCCTGGCCTTTCCTCACTAGGACTTTCATAACAAGCTGAGGTTTTCTGTGTTGCTCCAATTAGCTTCAAAGGGACTGATTTAGCAGAGGAGGTATTCCAGCCCTCCTGAATTCACCAGGAACTAGAAATGGGCACAAAAGAAAAATGAACGATTCCTACTCCCCAGTCACTTGCTCCTCTTATCAGTCAGCAGCAATCCCTCCATGTGACAGAAAAGAGAAGGCACACTCAGGTTAGGGTTAAACCGGGTTTCCTTTCTCTTTCCAGGCCAAGCTAAGGAAGCATATCCAGAACCCCAGCGCTTCGGAGTTGGTACATTTCCTATTTGGACCGCTGGAACTGGTAAATCCTATTTCCACCCCATTAATAAAGCCTGACTGTGAACAAAAGTGCCAGCCAGCTGTGGTTCCCACTGGGAATCTGCCTGCTCTCACCTTCAGGCAAACATGGCTCAGTATTTGCACTGAAATAGGAAGCAGAAATCCTGACATGGAAAAGGACAAGATATTTTTCATTTTTTGAAGTGCCAGCTTGTGATGTCTCTACCAACAGCTCATTTTTAGATCAGACCATGCTTTGACTCCAATATAAAAAATTCTCACATTCCTCTGAACTGTCCAGTCTTCTTCAAAGATTTAGGCTGATGTTTCTTGAGGCGACTGAGCTGATCTCAGGATCAGCTTTGTCTTTGATTGCTGCTCCTTTGTGTGTCTCTGCTTTGATATTTTGACCGTTTCCTGCAAATTCTCTCCTGTTTGTGTGGTTTGTGTGTAACCCAGATCATCAATAACTGTGGTGGCCCCGAGCTTGCCCGCTCTGTCGTCAGCCCACTTCTTTCTAAAGACGCCACAGATTTCCTCAGAGGACACCTGACACCCAAAGAGATCAACCTCTGGGATTCCCTGGGGGAGACGTGGACCAGATCCAGGTGAGGACAGAGCTGCCATCTCACCAGGTTCCCAGTGAAAGGATGATTGATTCTATCAGAAGGTCAAGGATGCCCTGATGCTTCTGCTTCTCCCTCACATGCCTTCAGACACGTTCCTTGTGAATCTCACCTCATATTCCCACTTCATGTCCTAGAGCTGAGTGGCCCCGAGACGCAAACATCCCCACCTACATCCCCAAATTCCGCAACGGCTGGGAACCACCCACAGAAATCTTCCGTGGAGCTCCCTGGGAAATAGACATCGGACACCTGCAGGAGGAGGTTAGTCCTGTGTCCCTGGGGACCCTCTCTTCTCCTTCCCCCTTTTCCAGAGAGATGGATCTGTGGGGGGCGTGGTGGTGTCTAACAAGTAGACAGCTCAAAACTCAGTTGGTTCCGGTCACTCCAGTTAAATACGGAAAGAAAATAAGGCTGGAAAGGGGCAGCAATAACCAGCCCCTCCTGATCAAAGGCCTCTATCATGTAACTGAGCTCCAGGGGTACAGGTTTGCCTGAAGAACATTTTGGTGTGCACCTCACCGTGACCAAGAGCTTCCAGGCCACGACTCATCTCCCACTGTCCCTCTCCTTTCCCCCTTCCCTGGTAACGCTGACTCCACGTCTGCCTTCCCAGCTCTCCTCAGCCAACGGATATCCCTACCGGAACTCCTCACTCAAGCGTGGCCAGGCGGCCGACCAGACACAAGCCGTGGATGCCTTCAAGCAGAATGTCACCCAGCACGTGAACAGGTCAGGGATCCTCACATCCCAGCTCCCCCCCCCCGGGAACCTCACGCACACACAGGGACAGGTACCACAACACCGGGATGTTTGGGCATCCTGGAGGTCACTCTCTGCCACTGCTCATAACCCCCAAGAGAAGGTACAGGTCAGACAAGGAATCATTCACCTCAGCACTGTCTGCTGTTTAATCACCAGCAGCTCTGCAAGGAAAACACTTCCAGGTGTTTTCCACCACAAGAGGTGAAAATATTGCCTGACCTCATTAGTCCATCCATAGGTCTTGTTCCCTGCTCCCAGCCCACCAAAGTGACACTGTGGATGAGGGGCCACAGGTGCTGCACTGTGCTTCTGCTCTCTGTATGTTTAGAGACACTAGAATCATGGAACCACAGAATGGATTGGGCGGGAAGGGACCTTAAAGTTTGTCCAGTTCCAACTCCCACCTTCCAATAGACCAGGTTGCTCCAGAGCTTATAGCTCAAAATCACAGCAAAATACCTTAAATCCAACTATCTCAGCAAATGACTTATTTCTGTTGTTCACCACATCACAGGTCCTGGTGGGACCATGAAGTGGTGCAGATGCAGGAGAAGAGTGTGAGGAGCAGGGAAAGAATGAGGATCATTTCCCTTCTCCAATTCCAGTTTTCTCAGGCTGGGAAAAACACAGAGAATTTTGTTTAAATGAGAAGATTTAAGTCTGGGTTTAGTGACTATTAGACAACACACAAAGGCAAACACTTCCACGTCCATCAGCACAGGCAAACTATAAATAGCAGTATGGAATCTTGGGATAGAAGTTATCAAGGTGCCTTTCACTAAGGCACTGCTTCCCAGGACACCCCCCAGTCCCAGCACAGCGTGGGCTCACGGAGAGCAGCTGAGGATCTCAGGTGCTGGGCCTGTTTACCTGCCTTTCAGACTGTCAGTGGCAAGTTTTCCTCACAGGTAACAGTCAAGAAAAAAAAAAATAAATTCAAGTTCATTCATTGTGCTGAAGGTGAGCCTGCCCAGGGTTAGCCACGATGACAGTCCTGGCACAGACATTTTTCTGCTGTGCTCGTGCTTTTTTCAGAAGAGTCTGAACTCGTTTTCTAGCCAAGAGACCCCATATTAGCAAAAACACCCAGCACATCAGTACTACAGTTATACACAGGGCTTTTGGCTGCAGAGAAGTGTCCTGAAAGTCCCAGGCAGTACCACAACCATCAGCTCGGGTCCCTTGTGCACACGGAGTACACACCACGTCCAGCTCCTCCCTCATGACTCATTTACCTTCTGGAATGCCACAGAAGAAGTAATTCCCACCTAACTAACAGGGGCCTTCCTCCCCCTCCCTGCCTTCAGGGCACTGCTGGGCAAGGCCACTGCTCCCTTTCTGGCTGGGTGGATTCAATTTGACTGCTCCAAGCTCTTCCCCACGGTGGAATTACAACTTAAATACTACACGTGGGTGTAACCAGACCAAGAGCTGTCCCAGAGCATGGAACTAACACAACACTACAACCACTGGTGTGCATCAAACACTAAACCAGCAATTTCAACATTTTTCAGACCACCAAAAACATATCACAGAGGCAGGAAAATCAATTTAAACTTAGCATAATGGGGTCATTTTTCAAAGCCAGGTTTTACAGGTTCAGAAGAGCTGAGTTTCCACAGTACATGGATTTAAAATCACTGACCAAACCCAGTAAGTCAGAAATGGAAAAACATAGTTGCTGGAAGCACTGCTTTCACCACAACTTGACCTAAAGTGGAGGAGAACCTGAGCCCCTACTCCAAACCCACTGGGAATATGGCATCAGGTATCTGTGCAGGCTACACATCACAAACAAAGAGATCCAAGTGACTGAAATAGTTCCTCATATCCTTCCACAAGGCAAGACAGTTTTCCATACAGCAAACATTTTTTGAATTAAAAAAATAACACTACACTCAACTGGAGAAGAAAGTAAGTGAGACCTGCAAAATTTTCCCAAGTCAGGTAGAAAAAAAAAGAAAAAAAAATCATTTCAGTTTGGGTCAAAGAGAATCTTTCATTGTATTTTTTCACCATTTTCAGCAATCTATCATATTTATTTTGTCTCTCTTCAAACAAAAAGCTAATTCAACATTGAAAAGCATTATGTTCTAGTGTCAGAAATTTCCAAGCAGACACATGAATGCATTTGTCTTCCCCCTCTCCAAATGCATCTTAGAACAGAAACGTTCAAATGCACTGTTCCTGGAAACCTGCAGAATTCTGTGTCAGCAGCTCAGTGTTGCCTGATGAAAACCCCACAGATTTCCAGTCAGTTCTGCCTACTCTCATTTTCAGTTCCCTCTCCCCCAGCTTCTCCCTGTTCTGGCATCTGGGGCTGTTGTTTCCACCGATCAGGACAGGAGGGTTTCACACCTAATTTTTCCCAGGTACAATCAGAGCGTTTGGTTCGTGCCCTGTCAGCCCCTCCAGGCTCTAAAAAGCAGTATTTTCTTCACAGTTCCCCCAAAAAGACTATTAACCAAACCCCCTACAGCTTTTTGTTTGCTTGTTTGTCCCCAACACCAAGATCTTTCACTAAAATAAGGGGTGAAAATCTTCCTCAAAAAGAGGAGCAAAGGGATGCTGCCCCTCCACACACGAACAAACCTGCCATCACCACTCTGTTTTACCAGCCAGCCCACTACCAGCATCCATTAAAACTGGGGTTTTCCTCTGCTGCAGGAATTTTGAGGCCCAGGGAATGGCTCTGCCCAAGAGATATGCCAAAATCCGCTACGACTTCACGGCGCGGAACGCCAACGAGCTCTCCGTGCTGAAGGATGAAATCCTGGAGGTAGGTGAGCACGCTTGGCAAAAGCTGCATCCTCCCCTTCCCAGGGGCAGGAGAGACCTCAGGACACCAGCAAAACACCACCTCGGTTTTCCTCAGTGGTTTCTGAGCAGTTACACCAAGTTTTGCCCAAGTCTGAAGCTGCAAGAGACTGACTCTGTGTTGGGTCATTTCCTGAGCTGAAACACATCGGTCACCCCTTAATTACAACGAGGAGGGAGGAAAACAACTCACTGCAGTGCCCTGCTCACCTCCTTCCTGGGCCTGTGCTAGTTATTACCACTTCCCCCTCCCCAGGGAATTAGTTTTTCCAAAAACATCCTTTTTCATAACCTTTCTCTTACTGCAATGCTGTTGGCAGCTGGAGAACGTAGGACACAGTTTGGGCCAACACTCAGCTGTGACCTGAGGAAAAGGTTTCTGTGTAAAATACAGCTATTTTTACTTATTTAACGCAAAAAAAAAAAAATATGGAGAAACAGGGAAATTGAGTAGGAACTATGAGTTCTTCAGAGGTGCTCTCCTGCTCATCCATCCTTAGGACAAGATGCTTTCCAGGAAAGGTTTCACTCCTGGATTGCACCCTGAGAATAACAGATCTACTCTGAGCTCCTGCCCTCAGTGATGTTATTCTCACAACTTCACCTTCCATGTGGTCCCTCTCCACTATATCCCATTTTTGTGTGCCAGACATCTGTGTTCCCACCAGTAGGTTTATTTTTGTCCCTCTCTCAGGTGCTGGAAGATAACAAGCAGTGGTGGAAGTTGCTCAACCGGAGCGGGCAGGCCGGTTACGTCCCGTATAATATCCTGGATGTGGTGAAGCTGGAAGAGGTGGAACAGGTCTGTAGTCAGGTGGTATCTGACTGGTACCACCTGCAGGGCACCATCAACCTCTGGAAATAATGCTGTTGTTAGACCTCCCTGGATTTCTTAGGATGCTGTGCCCAGGTCAGGATAAACCCTCACAAGACAGACAAACTCAGGAGATCCCCAAATCTCCTACAATAAAACTCTCACACTCTGCCACGCTCACCTTCCCCTTCCCAAACAAGGGTATCCTTCCCATCCGTGCAGCAGCCCCTTGCTTTCCATAAAAGCAAATTCTTCCATGAAAGTGCCGAGGTTTTGGTTGGAGGTTAAAGGCAGAGAGTTCCCTCACCCAGTTCAGTGCAGAAGCAGGAACACATTGCTGGAGAGGAGGCAGATGCACACACCACCTAAGTGAGAATTAAGTGAATACTGCACCTTGCAGTGCAAAAATGTAGAGCTGGAGTGCTGTAAATCCTCTAAGGAAGCATGGAATTGCTTCCCCACTTTGGTACTGCAGAGTTTGAGCAAAGCATAAGGTGGCCCAGCAGGTCTCTGGATAAATCCCAGTGAGTTTAACCTAAATGTCAAAAAACTTTCCAGGCTGCTCCAGGAGCTGGGCAGCGGTCCTGCTTCACATCCCAGTTACAGAGGAGTGAGGCTTTGCCTTCCAATGGGATTTCTGTTTGTTTTCTCCTCCTGTAAGGATCCTTTTGCTTCCCAAGGAAGCCCTGTGAGCAGTAATTTCTGCATAGCAAGAGGCTAAAGGGCTGAGTCACACATGTGGGAAGTCATCTGCAGCAGCAAGGAAGCACCAACACCACATATGATAATCATGACACGGGATGTTAATTTTGCAGGGATGTTAATTCCCTTACACAATCCTCACCCTTTGGTTTGGGTTGCTCATTCCCATGAGAACCCAGAAATCACCTTCTTCCATGCAGCTCCACCTGAGGTGCCACCAGCCCCACACCAACACAGGGAGAACATGGCAGTTTGTCCCTCTGCGAGTGAGAGGCAAAAAGTTTAAGAAAGTGAAAAATGGCCAAAAAAAATTCTTACACCTTTTTTTTTTTTTTTCCCCCTTTTCTAACCAGTCTAACCAGAGGTACAAAGGAGACTTGAGCCCCAGGGGCTATGGACCATCCAGCCCAACTCACAAGATGCCTGCGAGCTACGCCGGGGACAAGTGGGGCAGTGAGATGTTATCGCGCAACTCTCCCCAGGACGCCAAAGAACGTACGTGTCCCACGTGTCCCACGCTGGGCTCCCCTGGCTCTGGTGCTCCGGGCAGGGGACAGACCTGCCCACGGTGTTCCCTCTCAACTGCACCTTTTAGTGATCAGCACTAGAGCAGCAGTGGGTTTGGAGGAGATTCCAAGTGGTACAAGAGCCAAGAGAGCAGCCCTGGTGTTCGTGACTCACCTCCCGGGCTCTCAGGGAGCCCAGGACAAGCAGGGCAATAAGTGATTACCAAGTCCTTCCTTCCAGCTTGACCTCCCTCCTCCTCTTCCCAGGGACAGTTTCTTTTCCCTTCCAAAACACTTAAGTGTGTCTAAGCAACCACACACACTCAGATCAATCCCTTTCTCTCGCTTCCTTTGCTCCTCTGCTGCCACACACACAGCACCCACGTGCCCTGTTCCTTCCTGTGGTTCCACAGAATTCCCAGACAAACAGGAGAACCACATCACAATTCCCAGACAAATAGGAAAGCCACTCCCTCACCCTGCACATGCCTTGGGGGGGGTCACAGAGCAGGAGGGAGACCAGGAGCCCCGCTCACCTCACCCTCTTACCCCAGCCTGTTCATCCTCTGTGGACTCCTGGAAGCAGGAGCCCTTTGGGACAGGGGAGAGCCCCATATACGAGTGGACACGTCTGTTAATAACACCAAGTTATTCTCCAGATCCTTCAGGAGTTTCATGGGAAAACTGATACTAGATACTGTGTCACTGGAGTTTTTATAGAATCATAGACTGGCCTGGGTTGGAAGGGATCTTGAAGATCATCTTGGTTCCAACCCCTGATTTTTATGAGTCTGTTGCTCACTCCCAGTTTGTGCTTCCTGCCACTGCTGTTCAGCTGTGGAGCAAAACCTGGAGCTCTGAGGACCTGAATCAGCAAATTACTTACTAGAAGCAGCAGTCAGGACTGGAAAAGAACCCAGTCCCAAATCTCTAATTGCAGATTCTCACAGAACTGTCCTTCCACATCAGGCAACAGCGAAGGGGTGATATGGGAGGAAAATAAATGGCAACGCAGGGGCAGACAAAAACGGGAACCTGGTTCCCTGAAACACCAAATCCATCCCTCCTGACCCCTGCTGCCTCACGTGGGCTGGGGTTCTCCCCTCTTGCTGCTGTGTCTGCAGGGCAGTTCCCTTATTTCAGCAGCCCAAAGGGAACTAAATAACTCAGAAACAGGAAGATGACCAACTGAAGCAACCAGACATCAGGGAAAGGGACCCTGTCCCTTGTCACCACCTGACAGCACCGGTGGGAGCAAAGACACTGCCAGATCAGGTTTACACCCCTGAGCAAACCTCAGGCAGAAGCTCGTGGGGGTTGTGGGGTTTCATGTCCCTTGGCTGAGGTGTGATGGACAGGGGGAAGTTACACACGTGAGAAACAAGACTGGTCTCAATGTAAATTTGTATCTAAGACAGGTGAAAATGAGGCTCTCGCCAGTCACACTGCAAGAAACCCAAAGCCAAAGCTTCTCAGAACACTCAGCTGTCATTTTTGTGATCCCTCCTCTCCATCGTTCTGGAGAACTGTAGAAATCCCAGTTCCTCCCAAAGAGAAAGCAAAGTTTCAAAAGCTGAAGGGAGGAATTGGCTTGGGAGGAAAAGGGAGATCCCCCACTCTGCTCCAGCAGCCTCCAAAACCACAGTGGAACCCTGTCCACATTTGTTCCTGGTGGAATTCTGAAGGTCAAAATGTCACTGCTCCAACAAAGCACTTAAGCTTGTTCTTTAGAACTAAAATACAAAAGTAAGCACTTTCCTGGGGTGTATTTACAGAGTTAATGAAAATGCTGAGCCACATTCCAATTTTCCTTACAATTTCCCTGCAAACACATTCGTTTAACAGGATTTCTGACTGAAGACTTGATTTCATTCCCTGCTTATTTCTACAGAACTTATTCACCAAATGGATGAGCTGAATGACGAGCTGCTAAAGAAGATCGCAAACAATAAAATTCAGCCTCCCCACAGGAATTTCAAAGTGGAAAAGCCCCAGGAAGTTTTTGTGCCCCTCACCTTCGAGTCCAGCACCGAAGAAGTCAAAGCTTGGCTGGAGGCAAAGTCATTCAGCAAAGAGTAAGATCTGCTTTTTTGCCACGTGAAATGCTGCTCCTTTATTGGAAAAAGAGCAGGGGAGGCCACTTGCAACATCTCAACTGGGTGACAAGTCACTTGTATTTACTTACAAAGCCTGTGTTGCAAACTGCATTTCAGTCCTGGTAAATCCAGGCTCTGTAACCAGGGCATTCGGAGCCCAAACTCACTCTCTTTCTTTCTTATACATAGTTTCCTGGAGAAAACTGCATAATAACTAACTAAACCCAGGGCCTGAAACGCAACTGGGATTGCAGCTGCCACCTTGGCACAGCTCCAGGGCCTCATGATGTGGCCCTGGTGCAGTGCCCAGCCCTTCCATCTCTGGCACAAAGCCATCATCTCCTCCCTTTGTGTCTTCCCAGGACAGTGGAACACCTTGGCATCCTCACTGGAGCTCAGCTCTTCTCCCTCAACAGAGAGGAGCTGAAGAAGGTGTGTGGAGATGAGGGAAACAGAGTATACAGCAAGATCACAGTGGAGAAAAACCAGCTGGAGGTAAGGATTTTTCTGGATAATCCCTACTTTACCAGTGTCAAATATCTCATTAAACAGGCATTTTAAGAAACACAATGGAAAGAAACAAAAAAAAAAAAAAAGCAACCAAAACCCACACCACCAATCAAACACATCTAAAAATTCTCAAGGGGCTTTTAAGCAAAAAGGCCCCAAATCCATAAGGCAGATCCCCATTTCCACTAATTAATCTGCTTTTTGCTAATATAATGTATCTCTTTGAAACTAGCTTGACCCTTACAGCATGAATCAAATGCTGTAATTTGCCTACAGCTCGGAGTTCTAATTCCAACTTCCTGTTTTGTTTCCATTGCAGAAAAGCAGAGGGGAGTCAGAGCTCCAAGAAATCATGAAGCGCCGCCAGGAGAGGATTGATTCCGCTAATTAAACCCTGTCTGCTTTATTTCAGCTCTTAGTTCTAGTAGTGCAGAGAAAAAGGGAATGAAAGCAATGATCCCCTGGCCAGGCAGGAGACAGCAGTGCTGCACTTTGGGTCTGGCTGCCAGCAGAGTGACAATCCCTCGAACACTGTTGATAAGGGTTGACAATACGACCATGTCCCTCTGGGAAAGGTGTTTTAATATTGCATGAAGTATTTTTTTTTATAACTGTGTATTTTATACTGGAATTTTACGTGCATGCGGTCAGAGCGGGACTCACACGGGTCTGGATGAACGACAAGGGCCGGATTCAAGCAAAAAGAGACCCCACAAAGCTTTTGTCCGAGAGCTGTCCCTGCTCCCACCCCCTCTCCAGCACGGCTCGGGAAGAGCAGGCACGGAACAGCACTGACTGTTTAGAGTCTGGACCACGGGAATAAGGCTCTTCCTAAAATCCTGGAACGGTTTGGGTTGGAAAGGACCTTAAAGCTCATCCTGTTCCAACCCCTGCCATGGGCAGGGACACCTTCCACCAGACCAGGTTGTTCCAAGTCCCATCCAACCTGGCCTTGGACACTTCCAGGGATGGGGAGTCACCACCTCTCCGGGCATCCTAAGGCAACCCCCTCCTCATTCCCTCCTCCCCCTGCACAGGGCCTGTGACAATTCCCTGCCCTCTTTCTCTCCTTCCCACCCCCCTTCCCATGCCCCCTCGTTGGACAAGGCTGGAATGGCAACACACATTCCCAAAGACTGTCTGCTTCCTTAAATCCATAAACCAGTTATTGCTGGCTTTGAACAGTGGAACTGAGATTTCATTGCCTAAAAACGAGCAGGAGTGACAAAGGAAGTGATTTGAATACAGAAATAGGTGAGTTCCCCCTGCTCACCCCTGCTTAGGCAGAGCCTGGGGCTCAGGGCAGCTGTGCAGCCCTTCCCAGTGACACTGATCCTGATTTGGAACGTTGTGGTGTTGCCAAACCCCGCCTCAAACCAGGAGAAGATAAGCCCTGACCATTTGCTCCCAACCCAGTTACACCCACAGCCCTTCCTAGGGTGTTGGTCACCTGTCCCCACCTTCACGTTTGCTTTGCAAAGGTTCAGCTGAAATGACTCCTAAATGTCTAAAACCCAAAAGCACGCTGGGAAAAAGGCTGGTTTAGCACAAAATAAATGGCCACACACACACACAAAAAAAAAATATATAATTTAGCACAGTGTTTTTCATCATCATATTATGTGAATATGTATATAACAATCTCTAAATAGAGGTGAGGAAAAAATCCCTCTCCCTAGAGACAGGATGAAGTGATTATGCATCAAAATTTTACTCAAGGTTTTAGAACTCGAGCAAGTGCAGAGTAGTTCCTGTCCACAGTAAGTTTGGCACATTGTATTTCTGTCTCTATTTAAACTTACAGACCTACCTGATGGCAAAGCAGGAAAGCAAACAGCTCCAGAACTGCTCCCAGCACAGGGAGAGTTGGGTTTTCTCCTTCACACCCCTTACCTTTGGCTGGATGGGATTCAGGTCCAGGTTCCACACCTGTGCTTGCCTTTACCTGTCAGGAATGGTCCTACCTCCTTTAAAGTGCTTGTCTTCACACATTCAATGGAAAAAGCTTTAAAACAGTGTCTGGGGGACTTGTGTCTAAATCTGAGAGCACCAACACACCTCAATTTTGGCTTTACTCTTCAAATAATGTGTCTTATGGATGTTATATTGTCTTTATTTGAAACAGGAACTGGAGTGCAGGCAGGGAACTTGCAGGGGAGGATCGTCTTTTAGCCCCAGCCCTGTTGGAATCTGTGAAGGGCACTTACCTTGTCAGGGAGGGATGAAGAGGACAATCCTCCTGAGAAGCCCTGGCTCTGGAGTAGGGTGGAGATGGGAAGCGGGATGGCAAGCACAGGAGGAGAAATAATTCCTGAAATGAAAACAAAACCAACTGTTGAGCCAGGAAACGCACCACCTTCCTTTCTTTGGGTGTAGAGGAAAACAAGTCCCACAGATTTATAGTCATTAGGGATTATAATGGGACTGTACATGACAGTTCTGTAAAGCTGGGAGCACGGGAGCACTTCCTAAAGTAAATATCTCAGCAGACCTTACTGCAGGAGTCACTTTTATAAATTTTCAAGTGACTGAGCTGTGCATCTGTTCTACTTGTACTGCCTACAGACAACGCTATAAAGTCCTGTACATTGATGTAACTGAAGGAAGGAGAAAATGATATAACCATGCACTGTATAAGATTTATTAAAATAGTTAAGTTATAACTCCATCTCCATCTCGTTCACTGGGTTTTCACAGTGGTTTGTCACTGAGTCTCAGAAACTCACCAAAATGTCTGAAACCACACGTTTCCTTTGGGTTTGGGGGACTGGCATTCAACAGGAAGGATGCTGTGGCTTCGATAGCAGTATCCAAAAATGGGGAGGGGGGGAGGGAGAGAAACCTCACACATGGTAGGAATTAAATGCCAGGAAAGCTGCCAACTCGTCACCTCGAAGAACAAATTTCTCTTACCCCTGGAACTGTGACAACACATCAGTGTTTTCACACACAGATGCTGTCCAGAGCTACATTTTGCACTGGTAAGCTAAAAATCCCCAATGCTGGTCAATGCCAGCTTAGGAACAGCACAGAGCAAAGAGATGCCACTTTACGTTATACTCTCTTGGGCTGGGCAAAGCATGAGAACGTTGTACAAAAGCACATTCTTGCTTATCAGGAAGGGAAACTCCAGTGGCAGCTTACACCATTGTAACAGTACAAAAAGAGGGGACAGCATGACTCGGAGCCTGTTAGACAGCCGAGTGACAGATTCTCTGACATTTCCAGCCAAGTGCCATCCTCTGTTTCAGGAGCACGACCGCACTAACAGGATGACCTTTTCTAGAACCTGAAAAAAGTTGGAGCGAACGAACAGCCCAAACCACGTGCCTTGCTGGGTTGGGGGCTCTCTCACAGGCTGGAGCTGTGGCTGCCTAGCCATTTCGAGCCTTGCCGCGACAGCAGGGGAGGAAACAGAAAGCGCTGAGCTCCTGCAGCGGGTGAGCACTTCCCTCAGCGCTGCCTCCCCCTCACAGCCCGGCCGCCATCTTGTGCCAGCGGCGGCGCCCCGACCCCGCGCGGCCATGAGGGACGGGTGGCTCAGGCGCTGTGCCCGGCCGTGGGGAAGCCTCCGGGGGAGGTCCAGGGGCCGGAAGATCCCAGCCCGGGAGATCCCGGGGTGAGGAGCTCCCCCGAGCCCACCCGCCGGGGGCAATGGCTGCATCAGAGTCGCCAAGGCGACCACCCGCCCCGACCCTCAGAGCCACGACCCAGCCAATCAGAACCGCGCTCCCTCCCGCTGCCCCGCCCCGGCTCCTCCCGGCCGGGTCAGCCGTGTGTCGGCGCTCCCGATTGGCTGGCCGCCCCCCCACCCCTGGCCGGGATTGGCGCGGGTGCCGGGAGCGCGCGGGCGGCGGGTGCGCGCGCAGGCCGGTCCCCTCCGGGCACGCAGGGTCCTTTATAGGTGGCTGGAGTCCCCCAGAGCCGCCGACATGTCGGTGTCCCCCGTGAAGCGGCAGAAGATGGAGTCGGCGCTGGACCAGCTCAAGCACTACACCACGGTGGTGGCCGACACCGGGGACTTCAACGGTGAGGGGCGGCGAGGGGGGGGTCCTGTCAGTGCACCGTCTCCTTAACCCCCACCCCTCCCGGCAGAGTGGGCGCGTCCGGCTAAAGGGGCGCTCGGCGGGGGCAGAGCGAACCACCCTGCGGGAAGGGGGGGGCCCGCTCGTCCACTCCCGGCCCCTGCAGCCGGCAGGGCAGAACCCGCCCGCCCGGGACATTTTCCAGACCCTCCCGTGATTTTCTGCTAGTGTGCCCAAACCCCCACGCTCAGCTCCGCGTGCTGTCAGTAAGAACTGCCACACTCTAACCGGGCTCTGAATTCGGGCTTTTTTTTTTTTTTTTTCCAGCGACCTGTCTGGATTTGGGACTTTTCTGGGGTTTTTTCAAACTCAAGGCCAGGTTGGACGGGGCTTGGAGCAGTGTGGGCTAGTGGAAGGTGTCCCTGCCTATGGCAAGGGGTGGAAGTGGATGATCTTTAAGGTCCCTTCCAACCCAAGCCATTCCAGGATTCCATAAAAATATTGCCAAAGTGCTTTTGGTTCCCCTTATCTCCTGGTAATGAGCCAGCGTGCTCCTTTCCGAGAATGGGAGGTGGCCTTCCATTATAAAGCCATTTGTTCCCAAGCTGTCACTGCCCAGTGCCCTGCTTGGTCCATCAGAGCCAAAAAATCCCTCCTGAGTATCTCTGGGTGGCGTAGAACAGCCCTGGAATCCCATCCTGCCCTCCCCAGGCCTGGTAATCCCTAATCCTGGATGTGTAATAATAACCAACCCCACATGGGAACTGTCAGATGTCTCAGGGCAGTAAATTTAAGGTGAAGGGAAGAGGCGGCGGCAGCTCAGACAAAAAATACACCGTGCGGTGGCCGAGGGGGTGGTGGCGTGCAGGCAGCAGGAAGGACCAGGGAATATCCCACAGGGATCACTAAGTCCAGCTCCTGGCCCTGTGCAGGACACCCCCAGGTTGTCCTCTGGCTGCCTGTTGTTACCTGGGGGGTCATTCTTAGAGCCCAAAACAAGGCAAGAATCCCACCTGGCTCCGCTGAAGGTGCAGTCTCTGCCAACGCTGGTTCCCCGTTGGGTTCGGTCCAGAGCAGGAGTTTCACTGAGGTGCTGCTCTATTTTAAGCCATGTCCACGTGAATTAAAGTTCTGAAGGATCTCTCCAGGATCCTGATCGTTGCCTGGGAGGGATCTGTGGAAAAACAAGACTTATTTTCAATACAGCTGGCACAGTTTCACAGTACAGTTGCACTCTCTAACTTTGGGGGTTCATCCCTTGTGCAAAAATAAAAAAAAAAAATACTGAGGAGAAGGAGCTGGTAATAAGTGTTTTGTTATTTTTTGACGTTTAACTGCGTTGTTGAAACTGCTGAGGGGCCTGCAGAGACTCTGCCCTGTTTGCCCAGCCAGGCTCTGGTGCCAGGCTGTGATTACAGCCAGACAGTGTAAGTCACAGCCTGCTTTGGTAAACACTTGGCATCACCTGGAATAGGTGCAGTCCAGGGCTTAAGGTAAGACAAAGGGTCAAATACCTTCTGGAAAGAAGAAAGCCTGGTAGTACAAGGAAATGACAAGGCCACTGAGAAACTACAACTATTTGGAAAAGGTTTAAAAAGCAGTAAGAAAAGTTGCTGTTCATCTGTCCTGGTCCTATCCTTGGACACAAACAAGAGCCTGAATTCCTGACTGCCAGAAGGGAAGATTCCCCTGGTCTTTACTCCCTTCGGTGATTCCTGAAGCTCAGTTATGCTGGCTGGGATACGGTTGGAAATCAGCACCACTTCATCATTTCTACAAGTCTGTATCTTTTGGGCAACGTCTGTTGTTTATAAAATTTGAAGTTTGCTGTCCTTCGTTCCTGCAGCCCAGTTGTTCCGTACCGCGGCACAAACACCTCTGAGCGCTGGTGTGCTCTGCCATTACCAGACCCTACAGCCACAAGCGTTCACATCCTCAGCCACCTGAGTAAAAATCCTTCTCGTTCCTGAGGCTGGCTGGTTGTTTTAAACAGCCTGGTTTTCCTTCCTCAGCCATCGACGAGTACAAGCCCCTGGATTCCACCACCAACCCGTCCCTGATCCTCGCCGCGGCCCAGATGCCGGCGTACCAGAAACTCGTGGATGATGCTGTTGCCTATGGGAAGAAGCTTGGGGGGTAAGTCAAGAGGGCTTTAATCTCAGGAGACCTATGTTTAAAATGCCTTATTTATACAAGCATCGTACTGGGCTTTCCCCCTCGCGCATTTGGGGGTTTATCTCCTGCCCCAAAAAAGGCTCAACACCGAAAGAGAAATTCCTTATGCTTGTTCCATATGTGCCTCCCCTATTTACCAGCTCACACATGGCCTTCCTTGCACAGGAAAACAGCAGCTTTATAGGAAATAATGTCCAAAGGCTAATCCTGCCAGCAGGAGCAGAGGGCAGGACACAAACACAGAGCAGAGTACAAGCGGCTCATTTGAACTCTGGAATTTGATGTTAAACAGGCTGTGAAATTTGATCTTCAAATCCATGGTAAAGCGTAAACGTACCTTTTTTTTTTTTCCCTCCTCCCATATGCTTTTGCTTCTTGTGGTTTTCAGGTCAGAAGAGGAACAGATCAAAAATGCTTCTGACAAGCTTTTTGTATTGTTTGGAG